TACCTACCTACCCACCTACCCACCTACCCACCTACCCACCTACCAACCTACCCACCTACCCACCTACCCACCTACCCACCTATAATTTATTTTTAGATTATTTGAATCAAATGAATGCCATTTATTTACCTATCATGACGAGTATTATCAAAAAGGCAAATTCTCAGTTCCGTATGCACATAAGTACACGCTAATCATAACTTCCTCATATATATCGCCTGGTATACTTGCCATCGTAACAGTACTCCCATCTAGTTACAGCCGAGGACATCCATCTTAATAACATTGTCAGGCAATCTGTATTTAACAATTAAAACAGCTTTTTCTATGCTCATTCGTATTATTATATAGCTACAAATTTCTTTTTGGTTTTTGATTTATTTACGCTAAAAGAGAGACGGTCATAGGATCTAGCAGCACTTCGCGCGCGTGTATAGCGTCAGCACTATGCTCCATTCACTAATAAAGTACAGTTTTTTACCAATCAGCGCGCGCGTACTATCCTTTATGGGAAGCACGGGTGGCGTGTGCTGCTAATGCGTCGCCTCTCACCAATGCGACCCGAGTTCGAGCCCTGCCGTGCTTGGTGTCGTATGTGAGTAGAGTTGTTTGTTGGTTCTCTCTTGTGCTTCAATAGTTTTCCGTGTTCTCTGGTTTTCCTCACTCCGCAAAAATCAACTCCTAAATTTCAATTCGATCTTGGGCTTTCATCTAGCATGGATCTGTTGCTTCCGTCGTGATTGTCCCACTCTGTGATTACAGACAAAACTGGTAGATTTTATAAAGCAAAATAATAAATAACCTTATGGCTGCGCTTACATCAATATGTTTAATTTCATTCAATAGAGTTAACACGTTTGTCATTTGCGAAAGAAAGTGCTTGAGGAATTGAAGTAGGCCGCGTCATATCATATCATCTGTCTGTTAAAGGTACGGTGATGACATGGTTTCTTTGGCCAAACGTCACGGGCGTGTCAATCATTATGGGTCAATCTGACCGGCTCGTGATCGTGTGACTCGTGCACATATTTGAGCTGAAACAACTAGCTTCTAGTGTTATTTTTGTTTGTTGGACAAGTAAAATAATAGTTATTGGAGTGCGCCAATTATTCGCCGAAGGCGAAGTGTTAATATCGTTGAATATTTGCCATGCCGCAAGTGTTTTAGCCAAAGGATTTTGTATAATTGAAGTTTGCAGCTATTTCACTTCAAAAACCACTCTAAAAAGCAAAATAATAGCCGCAGCTATTTCACATCAAAAACCACTCTAAAAGGCAAATTTAGAGCCGCCATCTTTGTTTCAACATTATTCCGTGTTTTGAAGGTGAATATGGTAGAATATCACGAGTTTCCCAAAGCCGGAACAGGCCGGCATCTAACCATATGGTGTTTTACCCCTTCCATATCGGCTTCAACATTTATTTATTTTCGGGCAGACGGAAGCAGCTGAAGTAAAGGTAGTCACTCAGTGTTCGTTTTGTTTTTCAAAGGAAATTATCTCATTAAGAAAAACATTCTTTTTTATATTTCGTCGACCTTATTACTTTGATAATGTTCAGTTCTAAACTGATGACAATGCCTAATAAACTAATTTTATAGCCTGTCAGTCAAATCTTGATTTTTAACTTTTGCTAATTTTGTTGGTTGATTTGATCCAAACATGGTCTTAGTTTTAGTTGACCATAACATGGTATCTTTTTGTAAGATATCTTAAATCTAACCTTATCATGTAGAATCAATCTTAAATTTGACCAATTATTAGCTTTGTGGGCTTGTCAATCGTGAAAATATGTTATTGAAAGGGTCACTCATTCAGAGTTTTCAGAACCCTTTGCTTAAAGTGATAAAGGAAACTTAAAACTATAGCCATACGTACCCCTTTTCTCTTCTTCTTTCAGTATACACGTGGTTTGTTTGTCGTCTGGATTCAGTTCCAAGGTTAGAAGCTGCCGCACCTTCGGTAGGCAGATTCCAGCCCTATGGCATCATCTGAACAATACAAGCAGCAACACTCTCTCATAAAACTCTTGTAGCAGTTAATGCCCCCCCCCCCTCCCACTAAAAATCTTTTTTTTTTTTTCTTATCACGTTGTTGATGAGGCAACTAAACTTGAGCGTATCCTTGATGACGTATTTTATACAGCAGTTTTTAATCCTTCTTCAATTTCATTCAAGGTTGCGCGAGAAGCTCAAAAAATAAAGATAAGCAATGAAARAGTAGATGTAAATCAATACTGGAAGTTTCTTTTCCCCAAGTCTATGCAACGGTGGGCCGCATCGTCTGGAGAATTTTGTAAGAAAGCAAAAGGAAACGAGCTAAATACCAAGTATAAGCGGAAAGTGATACAAAGATGTCGTAACAATTATCATCACTTTTCAACAGTATTTTTTTAGAAAGCACGCTACGTCGCGTGCTTTTTTCCCTAGTGACTTCCAATTCTGAGTTGTTTTTTTTTTTTTTTTTTGCGCAAAGGAATTGAACCAATTACCCTTCTGAAGACATTAATAAGGTTATCTTTTGATGAATCTACAGATCCTTGAAATTATGAATTGGTATACATTTTGAAACTATCATCATAGCACAGATACCTCACACAGCATTTATAGACTATCCTTGTTCGTTCTTGTCGCCAGACAAATTCTTTTTGGCCCGGCCTTTTTCTTGACGGAACCACCATGTCCCACCCACAAGGATCCTGTTCGGGCGACTAAACCTCAAGGAACCAACGATTATCAATTAATAGTGCTTGATTTTTGGTGGTCTTGTTACTTCTAATTGTCTGTTTGTGAGCGCCTTGTTTTAGAGTTCCAACATACCACAACTTCCGCGGAGCTGCTATGACTCGCAATGACTTTATGCAAGTCAGACTTTCATTAGCCACAATATTGTCTACAGCGGAACAGTTCCTGATGTTCTCATTGAAAATGCACTTAAGTTGATAAGAAATAAAATATCGGGCTTAGACTCAACCGCTGTAGCGAGCTGTAGGGGAACTGAGATGTCATGCTGAAAAGGTATGGCTAGGAAGAGGACTTAAATTCTCGTTTAAACGCGCCCATGTAATCTCGAACCCTCTGGACTGAATTGCTAAAGCTGATGTTTCTTAACTGAAGAAAACTAGAAAACTGCCTTAATTATTGTTTAATCTGGTATACTGATCTTGTAAGGCAGTGATAACATGTCCATTTTCATGTTAGTGGGGATTAATGTTTTCGTTTTGGCACTGACAGGCGGCTTCAAAACAAGGTCACCATAAATAAACTAAAATGACCAGCTCATCACGACACTAAAAAAACATACAGTAGTACATTCAAACGTGCAAACACTGAATACGACCCTTTGTCCTGTTTCATTGTTCTATACGATTCTAGTTCTGTCTACCGCAAGGGTAATAAATAACAGCTTACTGGAACCCAGAGTACCACTGTCAAATTCATACCAAGGCTACTCCCTCTGAGGGAAATTTTGGGTAGCCATGCCTTACATAGTTCAGTTTACTATATATACAAAGCAGGGTCTAAGTTTTTAATCATTCTCATTCCTTGAATTGTTTAGTTTACACATGGGAGCAGAGTTAATTCCACGCTGGACAACGTGAGGACACACTCCGCTTTACATTACGCAACAAAATGGCTCGAGTCTTCACGATGCTTTTGACATTTTGTTGTCTACTCTATGTGTCATATCAAGGAGTTAAAGGTAAGATGTTTATATTTTAATGTAGTACGTAATTTTGATTTTTGGAAGGTATTTATTTTCTTACATCGTTAGGACAGTCTTTCTGAAAATTGAACGTAGCTCATGTGTTCTTGAGACGGCCGTGGCAATGACCTTCGGTTTTGCTATTCCAAACATGATAAACAACGTTTAAACACGTCTTGAAATTTAATTCGAAACTCTTATACTTGGTTAAATTTCTAAAAATTAAAATCCATGATCGCTTTGAAAAAACAATTCTAGATCTTCCTGGGGTAACGTTTTAAGCCCTTTAGTTGTTCACCCCCTGAAAATATATTTCAATTATCGTAAGAATAAAGTTATATTTTCTTATTCCTATCGACTCGTTTAGGAGGGATTGCATTCAAAATATTTTTCAAGATGTCATCAGATATCATTTAAGTACGTTGCGTTGACTGAGTAAAAGCCAGTGTCTGAAAACAATTTCGTTTCGATATTCAAATTTCAAAGTTTTTGTAACGACGCAACACCCGTAAAATCAAAATTATTTGAACCGTTTTAATTGCGGCTAAACTGAAATATCTTTAGAAAATAGGCTATGTCCTTCACGCGTAGTTAAAGAAATTGCCAGCCATGGTTAATTGAAAAGTAAATTTCTTATATGTTGTTTGAGGTGAAATAAATAATTGATTTGCTTTAAAGCATTTTGTCCACGTTAAACATTGGCTTGAATTAAGGCATAAAATGCTCAAAACGTCTTTCCGGTACATGTGAAAAGTTAATCTAATGCTCAATAGCACATAAAAACCATACAATAGATGGCCGACGCCGCTTTTTCAATACGGATTGTTTGTTCTTAATTACTCTCCTGGTTTATTCAATTCAATGTAAATCGATTTTCAAGGTAATTTAGAAAAGATTGTCTTTCAATGGCAGTCATTTGTCAATATGTAATCATCAGAGTCGAGCATTCTTTAATTACATTAGTCAGGGTTATCGGATGCTACATGATTTGAAGCCACAGTTTAACAAAACCCCAGAGGCAAATTTCCTAGACACAAGACGATTATTTCCTAGACGATCTTGCGTGACACAATTTTGAAGCGGATAAGATTAATTGCCCTTCCTTCTTGGGTACGACTGAGGGGTTGTTC